TGTTTTACAACATGTTCATTGCTTAAGGGCACTGTCATTGCCCAAAGGGAGCATAATGTTCAAGTCTCATTGAAATATCAGTAAGTAATATCAATAATAAAGAAAACACAGAATATATTAACAAATTCACTGCCCATAGCTATGTACCCATGATATATGGGAGCGGTATTCAGAGCATCAGTTCGACAATACTTAAAGTCAGTGCTCCTTGACCCGTGCTGATGAAGATGGACAGACAGGTTACAGAAGATTATGCCTCCAAGGGTCATAAAAATGTAGAAGGTTCCCAATTGCAAACTGATTTTTCAAAGACAATTACCTGCATGATTTAACCAGGCGGCCATTTATGCCTTCCAGGTTTCGTATCATTAATGTTTGTTTCCTCTTGGATTTTTGCTGTTTCTCCTTTGCTCACTTTTTTTTTTTTTTTTTTTTCTTTTTACCTCATGTATACACATTAAAACACTCTCTCACACTTCTTGTCCTAGGTGATTTATTCCCAAGAAATTAAATTACATTTTTATAAGCCTGTGTTACTTGCAAATGATAGTTGAAGATTTGCTGAAAAAATTAATTCCTGATCTGTTGCCGTGAAGAGCCCTTGCTAGCACTGCACTGACTCTGTCTTTCAAAACCAGATGGAAGCGGTCCAACGGTATGATTAACTTCTTAGTCCCTGCAATTTCCTATTGCTCTACTTGCCCTAGATTTCAGGATTGACCTCCTGCTTCACTGCAAAATGCACAGTTGCTCAGCTTGATAAATCACATGAATACTTTTTTGATCACAGTTATCTACTATTTACTACATACCCAGTGAGGTTAATCATATGCTGAGGCACTTCATATGCTGCACGCATATACACTCTTCTTCCCAATAGCCCTTTGCATATTCTTCATGCTGCCAGCCAGCATGGGACCTGTTTTCCCCTTACCAATATTTAAAAGACCGCAGTCATGCACCTTGTCTCTTTTTCACCCCATGTTAATTCTGTAATTATCCACACACGGATTCTTAAAAGAACTAGCGAGCCAAAGAAAATACATGAGAAATTGCTAGTCAGACCTTTCTTTAGCAGACAGATATTTTTCAAAATGCTAATGTTTCTGTGAACTAGAACCGATCGTCTCCCCTCTAATATCTTTGGGGAGCTATTGAGAGTGCATGGGGTTGCCCATAGGGAGCTGCGAAACGTTTGGCTATCATGACAGCAAACTGCTATTACTTCCTTGAAGAAAAAAATGCAGCTTCACTTTTCTTTCTCTTTCTTTAAAATGCCAAAGGAATTTCAGTATTTAGTATGGCTAGCTAGGGCTCAAATTGCTAAAATTCCCTGGAACAGCTCTGCTTCACCTTCTCATGCAGCTTTGCAATACACCCAAATTGCATCTCCAGAGCTGTCGTAGAACAATTCCAGACAAACACCAGCAACAGTCAAGGCATGGGAAAGCATCCAGCAGTGAATGGATGAGTGTTAAATATCTTGCTCTCAAGTTAAATAAAAGGAAATAGAATCCAGTTTTACAGAGATATCTATTCCTTTTTATTCCAAGCCTTCCACACAGGCTCTTTCTGAAGCCCCTTTCACCAATTCACAACATACTGCAGTACTGGAAAATAATATCCTATATGCATACATAACGTTACTCTTGTTCAAGTTCTGTACCTAGGAGGGCTAAGAAACTCTAGATCATTTCTGCCACAATAAGCAGCTCCTGTCACCCTTTCCTACCCCATGCCTAGTGGAAATGTGGGGCACCAGCATTTCCAAACAGCCATGCTTCACATAGGGGATTATGTAAATCCATATCCCTGTCAGAGATATTCTCTCTCTTTTTTTTTTTTTTCCTTGCAAAGATAATCTTGAAAGCATAAGCAATGTACCAACCTCTGCTGGAGGGAGCCATGTGTTCATTTCTATGGCAAAGAGCACCATTCGTACATGCTCTTCTCCAGCCAGCCTTTGCATCCCCCATGATCTCAGTTTCTTCACTCTCTGCTGGGATGTGGATCAGCTGTCCTGAGCCAAGGCTTCCCCTCGGCTGTCACTGGCTGCACAGACCTGTCACATCACAGCTTGCTGGCCAGCCCGTGAGCTGAGTCACTCCGCTGATAAGCTGACCACGTAGCTTTGCAAGTGTAGGACTTGCTCAGTGTGAAAGGCAACGTTATCGAACAACTCAGTCCAACACAAACAGAAGTATGTGGGTGACATGAAGCACGTGAGTATTTTTGCTAGCTGCCACCGGGCTATTTACGTCCTTCAGGGTATCACAAGTTTAACTGCTTTGCTTAATCACAGCTAGAGCAGATACTTGAGAACAAGAAATCTTTGGCTCAGTCCACCGCAAGTCTTAGGGCTGCTTGGACAGCTGTGTTCCCAGCTTTAAATGATTCTATTAAAAGTCTACATTGCCTCTTATTGTTGCCTTAATTCTTTACAAGCAGTGCCTCCGCAGGCCTCATAACTCAAATGGTGTATCTCAATGTGGCTTTGTCTGAAGGAGAAGAGCCATGCTACATATCCCGCTGGACTAATCACCGACCATATTGCTGCTTGCAGTATCAGGGGAATGGAATGGATTGTCCCAGGCCAACCTTTTCCATTCATTGTTCCTCACAGCTGAGTGCTAGGTGCAGGCACACACCTGTAAGAGGTAGTTCAGCAGCACCTCTGCCTCCAAACCATCTCTCTGCCTGCAGATGTGTTGCTCTGCTGCTTCTCATGCCCCTCCTCCAGTTCTGCACACCCATCTTGGGACTGGGCAGGTTGGGTTGATGGTTGGACTTGGTGATCTTAAAGGTCTTTTCCAACCTAGATGATTCTATGACTTTATCTATGATCAGCACTCTGGAGGACAGTGGGGACAATTTGTTCTTCCCTCAAGACCTCTAATACAACTGGTCAGATCCATTAGGGTAAAACAGATCACACCTGGCACAGCCTGCATGTCAGTGTCCTAACAGTGACCAAGCATGGATGGAGAGGGTATGGCTACAGGGAAATGTAAAGTACACCCAACAGGAAGGTGAGCCAAAGGTCAGATAGGCTTTGAAGCTCACCAAACCTCATGAATGGAGCTCGTCTACAGCGCAAACCTGATGTTTGTGTTGGATGCCTTGTCTAGCAGCAGCTCAGGGTGGTAAATCAAAAAGTTTTATCACAGCCTGTACTGAACAGTTCAGGCTTCAATGAAACACATATATAAACCAGGTGCTGAGTGTAAGCTGGAAAGCTGGCTCTTATCAGGTGGGATGGAAGGGCTGGCCAGCATGGCTGCATGATGTCCAGGCTGTGTGGGACCCCTTGCTGCCAGTTCAGCTCCCACCTCTGCCCCCGGGTGAGGGTGGGCAGAGCTAACAGGGTCTGTCTGCATCCTCCACAGTAAGGACACAAAGAGGATAATAGACTGGGCCTGTGAACGAAGCGTGTCCCATAAGTACCACCCAGGCACTGCAGGGAATGAGACAGCTTTTCCCTATTACACCGAGAGAGGAAATTCAGCGGTGGCACAAGGCTCTCCTCTAAGCACTCAAGACTCTTAGTCAGACCCATTTGGCCTGCACTACAGCACAGAGAAATAAAAGCAGCTAGGGGAATAGAAGTGCCCTAGGACCACTGTAAATCTTTACTTCATGGAAAATCTTATCTTGTGCATGAATATGAGCTGTGAGTAAATTTAATGTGTGGATTAAGTACTGTGCGGTCTCCCTCATGGTGGGCTTTCAGCCGAAAAGAACAAAAGAATAATAATGAGT